CAGTGGTCTATTCTTCCAGATTTCCTGGGATTCCAGCTCTTTGTTTATTGGCCCCTGTATGTAGCATCTTGGTTGCTAGATTGGAGTGGGGAATTCTGTATTCCGCATTCATTTACACACATGAGTCTCCTCTAGGAACCCGACTTCTAGCTGGATCCAGATGGAAGAATTTCAGAAAAATATATTGCCTCTTATTCCATAGGATCCATTTTCCTTTTACAAAAGGCAACAACACAGTTGCTCCTGTGAGAGAATCAGAACCTACAGGGTTAAGAGGTTCTGTGTGTGACGTCTTGCATCATGAGGCGTGGTTCCGCACAGACGCTTATGGGAGTGGTTTTGCTCAGTAAGTTAGTCTGCCTCTGCTGTGCCAGAGAGAGGATGTCGGCTAAATCGCCGGGAGATTTACGATCTGTTATTCTACTTGATTAAAGACTAAGAGATAAGGAAAGCCTTGTGTCTGCTTTGAGTTATTCCCAGATGCTGCATTTTGCTTCTAACTGCTGCGATTTCTCTGCTACCGGCTGAAGAGTCAGAAGGACTTTTGGAGCGGCACAGAGTGTTAGCGAGGTGCGCAATGGAAGTGTGCCGGACGCCATGATTGATTGGCCTATCTCGTCACTTTTGGCCTCTTGCAGCCCAACAGGTTATGGGTGTTTGCCAACGCTTTGAAGCTTTGCAGCATCGTCCCACGTGTGGGGGAAGCCAGTGAAAGTTTGCTGGGACCAGCTGAAGCTCTGAGCTCTGGAGCGTTCTTTGAGGCTGGAAGGAGCAAGCTGGGAAGGATCGGTCAGCCGGAGCCGGAGGAGGCTAGGAGGCTGGTCTGTTGTACTGGGAGCTGGACGCTATCTATGTGGGAGCTGAACGCTATCTACGTGAGTACGCTTACCCCGGGGGAGGAGGAGATGGCTCAGTCCCAGGAACATGGCTTTGAGCTTAAGCTGCCATGTGCGAAGTTAACCACTCAAACGTGGCTGGAGTGGAGCTATTTAGCAGAGTTGTCCCTAGTTGGCGCCAAGCTCTGGGAAGTGGTCACACCGATGTCTACGTCAGCTGGGGCGGTTGAAAGCCAACGTGAAGCTGAGGAGCGTGTGATGGCGTTTTTGGCTGAGAACGTGAGTGCTGATTTGAGGCCTATTGTT